GGGGGGGGGGGGGAAAATAGATATGTGCAAACAATAGAACAGTCTCCTCTGTAGACGGCAGAAAACAAAGGGGGAATGAAACAATCCTAAATGGATATATACAGAATGAAATATAAAAGCACTTACCTACCAAAACATGAAGACACTGGCAGGACAGTATGGCTGGAGCTACACAGGCGATTGTTAGTAGCTCCATCATACTGCTAATATCATTGGCGATTGACCTCCAAGGCTTTGTTCACACAGGTTTCTGCTTGCTGAGGATGTAGTACTTGCGTCCGTGGCAGCAAAAGCTTCCACAAAGCTGCCTAAAAAGCTTGCTGTACACACTGTTCTTATACAAGCTGAAGCCCGTGTGAATAACACCTAAGAGTCGGGATAGATGGCTACACAGGCAGAACAAATGGCTGCCTACGTGGGAACTGCATATATAGCAAGTTATCTCTCACAATGACACAATCTTCCAATTCTGTAAGAAGGCTGGCTATAGGCTAGCCTGAATTTGTGGGAGGAGGTTGGCTTGTAAAACGACTGCAGTTTCTTCCTCTCACCGTCGGATCGTTTTCTGGTATCCCCCCCACCCAAACCCCTTTTTACAAACACTTTCTTGAGTATGCCCCCTTTTAGGCATATTGACCAGCGCGACAAAGGCACAACTCAGGTTGCGGTACGTAGGGTTTTTTTTGCGCATGGTCGTGCCCAGACTCTGACCACAACTACTGACTGCTACTAAATGCTACCTGTGTAGCTTACAGCAGAGGGAGCCATTTGTTTCTACTCTCAAACTTGAAAGCAGTCATAACGCAGTTTTGGTATAAACTGGTACTTATGCTGCCCGCTGTTGCATCACTGATTTTTTTTTACCCCATTTCAGGTTTGCTGTAAAACATAATAAATGCATCGGGGTCTCACACCCATAACACCCCTTTAAGATTCCAAAAAAGAAATTGTGGTTCCGTTTCGAAGTCTGACATTTCCTTACAAAATATTTTTCTCTAATACTCCCGTACAAAGTAGGACTACAAGAAAAAAAAAAAGACATTTACAGTTTTACATATGCTGATTCAGTTGTACTGGATCCTGAAGGAGGAATTCCCAGCACCACATCATAAATCTGCATCTCTGCAGAGCATTGCACATGTAGAGAAAAACACGACCGGTGAAAGGTGCCTTCGCCTTGACTCCATTGCCTGGTGCATGCTCTTCTCTAGATGCCTGCTTCTAGGAGCAGGCGTTTACCTGTCAGACAAAGAGGTCATGTTAAAGGGAAACGGTTTTAAATCAGTTTTACGTTACTTTGTTATTTTTACTAAGCCCAACAGAACATTCCATTTAAATCAGTGATATGCATTCCAGGTTCATCAAAACAAAAGCGGTGCAAAGTCCTATATTTATTGTTAAATGCTTGTCCCGTGCGCCAAATATTTGGCACAGTATCAACAGGTTATCAGGACCATTATCTTCGCTTTACAAATAAATATTAAATTCATGACACAGTCCCAAAGCACTAAGGGGTGGCTAAAGGGAAAGAGTAGCATTGGCTGTCTGTCTTATGTCTGATTGAACTCCACCCAAACAACTAAATACATATATGGAACTCATTTACCCGTCAAACTATTTATATTTCTATCTATTCATTTCTAAGATTTACACAGTCCTACCAGCCAGCCTGGAGACCTGATTTGATCTACCGCAGTTATGTAATACAATAGGTCTTGTCCCTCCCCCAGCCTGTGACTGGACGTTGAAGGAAAATCAGAAGATTGATGGGCTCACTTTCCAGTTGCACGTATACATGTGTCTATTTTGTTTACATTGCTGAGCCCGATTAGGGGACCCTGCGTGGCCCCGAAAGCGCTAGTTTTGGTGACATGACGTTCCAATAAACAAACTCTTTGGACTGCAATACTGGTTGTGTGCTGGTGACATTTATTCATCTTTACGCTGTGTGGCGGCGCCATCTGCAGGTCACCACAAGCACCCCCCTCAGTCAACTTTGGGTTTTTCCGGTAAGGAGTGCAACAAGGTATCTTTTTGTTTCTTATTTTTTTACTCAACCCGTGGGCTGAACGAAAAAAATAGAAGATTCATTAATCATCGCTTACGAGCATTGATGGATGAATCCCATGCTCTTTGCATTGTATTCCGACAGCTGTCAGAATACCTGAACGAAGCTAGCAGCTGAATTTTCCAACCGGCTGCTTTGATCAGCTGATGGAAGGATGCCAGGGGTGGAAGAGTGCCGACAGTGACACCCACTGTGTAAGTTGCGGCCGGTTCATCAGGATCTAGCCGAAATTCGCACCCATGTATACCTTACTTTACTTCGCTCTCTCCCCCCTCAGCATGTTTCTTGTTACGATATGAAGCACTGCAGCACAACTGACTGGCTCCTTGTGCAGCTTCACCCTTCACTGTGTGAGCTTTGCTCTATAGGCCACAGCAAGAGGTCAATAGCAGGTCAAATTTATAGGCACATGAACAAGTTGATTTTAAAATTAAAATATACTTGTATGGATTGGTATTTTTTTTTACCTGCATGGAGTTCAGCTTCAATTTTAGAGATCTTGCATTATGCTCAGTTTTAAATATACACATCAGAGGCAGCAGCTTGTTGGGGAGCGAGTTATCTCTTTATTTATTAAAGTTACCCGATGGGGGACTGTTTTTGGTGAGAGGCCTTTGTCTTTGGACAGATAGGAGTTTATACATATCTGTTATAGGGATATGGGTATTGCCCACCTTCTTGTCTCTTACACTGTACAGTGCCCACAGCAGGTGATAACACTATGTAATGATAAAAAGCTTCCAAGGCCTCATTTACACATTCTAAATTAACCATAGTGGGGCAAGTATGCTGTGGATTTCCACGGCCGGAGAGATCCTAGGTGTTCATTTCAGCAGCAGTCAGTCTGTATAATCCAATGACAGGCTGAAAGGAGCTGGGGCTGTCCATGACCGTAAGCATGTATCAGCTTGTATCCACGAATTCAGTGGTTACCTGCAGTTAGGGACAGATGCCCAGCCCTGGACACAATGTACTTGTGTCCATGGTCAGACATCTGTTCCCAAATGCAGGTAATCGCTGGATACTTGCATACAGCCATGGACAGCCCGGCTCCTTTTAACCGATTATCCATTTGTAAAGGCTGAGTGATCGCCGCTGATCAAACACCTGGCATCCCAGCCACAGGGAACCACAGTATACTTGCGAAGCCATTGTCCATTTACGAGGTGTGAATGAGTCCTAATTCTGCTCTAATCGCACTGTGTTGTGACTACAAAAGCTGCAGCAATGGGAACAGCCAAGAATATAGCTGATAATTGTTCTCATCATTGTCTCCTAGTTCACTTAAAGTGCAGATACATTCTTCATACTGCTGCATCTTTCAAGGAAACACCATACCTTCCTCATCCTCCTCCCGCCATTGGTGGAGGACTGGGGCCTGAACCGTGATTGATCCTTCCCATTCTCCGGCGTGGTAATCCTGGAGGACTGCAATGTAAAAAACACCATTACAAATAAAGCAAATAGAATAAGACTAATGTCACTGTATTAAAACACATAACGAAATTTCAATTTGCCTGGCAGAATCATTATAAGTTCTAGATGGCTCCAAACTGAACTGAGTGCCTAGCTACTGCATTTTACACCAATTTGACCACCTTTGCTATATACGACATAAATACAATCCAGTCTAAAGCAGCCGGTGGTATGGTTCTATACGCAGTCGGAGCAGAACTTTCCTTAGACACTGATCTTGTGGCTTCTTATTGACAAGCGTGACAAAAATGTTATAATTGTGAGGACTTAAATGTTTTTATTATTCAATTAAAACATGATTTTAAACATCAAAGTGGCGCTTTGTTGTGTTTATCAATGGATTCATTCATAATACTTCTACTAGCCTTTAAAGCTGAACATATAGTATAACTAAAGCCTTATAGAAACATGCATGCATTCTCTGGGCACAACATAAATTAAATCTTGTGCAGCTTTCTTTCCTGTAAAATAGATCCTCACAGTGTTGTTCTTCTATGGAATATACAACATTGTCTATGGCAGGGGTAGGCAACCTCGGCACTCCAGCTCTTGTGGAATTACAAGTCCCATGAGGCACTGCAAGACTGACAGCCACAGGCATGACTCCCAGAGACAGAGGCAAGATTGGATTTGTACTTTCACTACACTTGGAATGCCGAGGTTGCCTACCCACAGTCTATCAGTAGTTCCGATCTTCCTAACTTCCAGTTCATGCATACGCTAGATATCTGCAGGCGCACATTTATAAGAGGAGAGAGCACAGCACTGAATAACCAATGGATGAACTGCTCATGCGCACGGGGGGTGCAGAGGGTGAAGCATGAGGGAATGCACATTGTGATCCTCATACATGCAGTGGCTGGGGCACAAATTAAAAATGGATATTAATACAGCAAAGCAAGGCCCCACAGAAAAATAAAGTCAATAGAGGAATTACTACAAATTAAGGTAAAATATATATTTTTTGACCATTATACCCAGGATAGGAAACCTCAACACTCCGGCTGTTGTGGAACTACATGTCCCATGAGTCATTGCAAGACTGACAGCCACAGGCATGACTACCAAAGGCCGAGGCATGATGGGGTCTGTATTTCATCACAGCTGCAGTGCCGAGGTTAGACTTTAGATACTTTTTGTTGTTGTACATTGCCAGGGGCACATGCATAGTGCAGTGTACACCCTCATCATCAAGATTTGACAGATGCCAAGAATGGAGGCAGGAAGATGTGACTCCAGCACGCAAAGTAAGATCAGCCGAAGAAAGAAGATGACAAGAAAAGTTGACGATGGCTGCACGACAATGGGGTGATGGCGCAGTACACTGACCTGCAGGCTGGAGTAGGCCAAACTAAGCAGTAGGACTGTCATAATGTGTCAGTACATGTACATATGGCAAACACCCCTCCCCTCCTAGTTCAGTTCTGCTTCACACCATCAAAACATGTAAATATTAACAGAAAAGATCAGAAAAGTCCTACCCTCTCCCGTCATCAAACCGCGAGCTGGACGTAGAGTTTGAACAGCCTCTTCTCGATATATCAGGCCGGGCCATGCTCTGAAAACTACAAAGAAAAGGTTTTTAGTATAATTAGCATCAACAGTGTACTCCATTCATTGCTATTTCCTCCTCATACAGACATGTGTAGCTCTGCTGGATCTTTTAATGAGGCACTTTACACAAAACTGATATTTATTCTCTGGTAGGTGCTGGAGGGTTAAACCACCTGACAGTTTCTTATATCCTTTGTACACTCCATTGGTGAGATTCCATGCTGGGTCTTGGATCTGCATATCCGCTTTGGACATTATGACAGAGTGGGGCGTTATGACATCGACACTGTTGTTGTATCCAAGACATATAGGATACCAGGGGCTGACTCGACTTGCCAGGCTTCACCAACAATAAAAAAATATCACCTTTGGGTGGACTGTCCCTTTAGGATACAGAGTACATTAGGGGTAGGCAACCACGTCACTTCAGCTGTTGTGGAACTACGAGTCCCATTAAGCAATACAAGACTTTGACAGCCACAGGCATGACTCCTAGAAGCAGAGGCATGATGGCATTTGTATTTCACCACAGCTGGAGTGCCACGGTCACCTACCCCTGCTTAAAGTGAAGAACTCTACAATTTACATAAGGCAGTGTTTCCTAATGCCAATCCTCGGGGAGCAGCTAGCACAGGGCTTAAAACAATTTGCTTTGAATCTAGGAGCCAGGTTTTTTTTTTTCTTTTAAACGAACGTCTTTGTACGTAGGTGCACCCCATTTGTGTTTCCGTTAGTATACGCACTGCTATCACGTGGGAAGGGGGGTGGGGGGGGTTTGGGCTCACAAGCCCCCTATGTAATGGCACATTGGAGATGACAGGTTCTCTTTAAGGTGACATTAGGGGTCTAGTGTCACCTTTCCGCTTTAATAGCTTTTGCTGGGGAATGACAGCTGCCTGCTGAGGCAGCTAAATGTAAACACAGCAGGCAGGTCCTGGAAGCAATAGCCAGTCTGCCATTGGCTATTTCAAATTGTAATAGCAGCAGAGGGCGGGTGCAATAGCTAGTTTGTTTGCTATTGGCTATTGCAAAGTGAAATAGTCAATAGGAATCTAGCCATGCATTTCTATGGTGGTTTTTTTTTTTTTCTCACCTACGGCAGCCCCGATTTCAGAAAGAAAATTGGTGTTTCTATGGTGTTTCTCTCCCTGCCGGCCGGGAGCCACTAGGCGACCCCTGCCAAATTGTCATTCCACCCCCGACTGGGTCGCGACCACAGGTTGAGAACCGCTGCTCTAGAGGAACCCTACAGACCCACAGAACCCTGGCTGAGAAAGGCTGGCGCAATCTGAATAGTGAACACCCATGCACTGCCTTCATAACAACATGAAACCTATGTGGAGGTAAAACGTTTTATCATTGGAATGAAATTGTTATATGCAGAATTCAATAATAATCAGAAGAAAAGTCTGCAGAGCAGTACTTACAACAGAACAACAAAGTCTGTAATTCCCCAGAACAAATCTGTAATAAAGGAAAGTCTCCATGGGGATCTCCTCTGCCCATCCAACACTTGTCCTGAAAAATAGTAGAAGAGGACATATAATAAGATGATGTTCTGACCCAAACTAGACTATGCCACGTGATGACCACATGAGCAGAAAGCGTGTGTATTAATGTCTATCACCTGTCAGCAATCAACAGGACCATTTTAAAGTGACATTAAATAACAAGTTAACAATCAGTCACATTCATTACAGGGTCAGTTCACCTTTAATGGGGTTTTTTTTCATACAATACATTAAAATGACATTTAAAAATGCATCATAAAATACTGTCCTCCATTTTTAAAAAGAATGCTTACGTTGGTTAATGCTGTTCCTGTAGGCTCCCCCTCTCTGTCCCAACATCATGGTAGGATGGAGCGACCATTGGCGGGATGGCTCGAAGGAATGATCACTAGTTGAGAGCTTCTTCATGAGGAGCTGGGGCCATGCATCCAATTATTCATGGCTCCAGCTCCTCATGAACGAGCTTGGGGAGCTCAGCCTGGGGAGCTGGGTGTGTCCAATGCTGACATCCCCCCTTGTAATCTGTGGGTTCTTCCGCCAGCCCCTATGTCACTGCAGGAGACGGGAGCGGTGGAAGGAGCCACAAAGCCAATAAGTGGTACAGGTATGACACACCTGTAGGTCTTTCAACAAGCTTGGAACTACAACAAAGCAGAGTTTGGCAGCGTGTGCAGCAGGGAGGGTTCATTGACTTATTTGCAGAGAGCTACTCACTTCCTTTTTTCTTTAACCGCATTCCCCCCCACCGCTGGTCTCTCCTCCTCTTTCTCTAAAGGCGGAAGCGATATGACATCACTTCCGCCTTTAGCGGTCATTTCTGTGGCTCCTATAGCCAGAGAAGAAGCTGGGGAAGCAGATCTCTGCTTCATCAGCTTCTTTGGGGGTCTCCAGGTGACATTAGGGGTCTTAGAGACCCCTGATGTCTCCATAAAGAGGACCTGTAATTGTATATCGGCTGTCACATAGAGGGCTTGTTATCCCCCTATGTGATAGCAATCAAGTTAAGTGTAAAAAAAAAAAAAAAGTTTAACCTCTTGCAGTCCGCCCATAGTAAAAAAACGGACGGACGGCACTGCTGCATCTGCGGGTTGCCGTCTCCAGACGGCAATTTTTTTCTGCTCGCGCGCGCCCCCTAGCGGGCACGCACGGGCAGAAAAGACCCGTCACGTGCAAACACCAGGTCAGCAAGGGGTTAAATTGCAATAAAGTCATATAAAGTGTATTTAAACCTAAGAAGAAAAATGTAATACAGTATATTGCAGCTTTCTGATCACCAGATGGGGGCTGGGGGGCTTTTTTCCCCGCCTGGTGATCCTGCCAGTAATACATTACAGCTATTTATAAAGCGATGACAATTTACACATCAGTCCCTGCCCCCAAGGAGCTTACAATCTAAGGTCCCTATCCTACATACATACATACATACATACATACATACATACATACATACATACAGGGCCAATTTAGACAGGAGCCAATTCACCTTCCAGCATGTATTTGGAGTGTGGGAGGGAACCGGAATAAACTCACACAAGCACAGGGAGAACATACAAACTCCATGCAGATAGTGTCCTGACCGCGATTTGAACCAGGGACCCCCAGTGCTAACCACTAAGACAATTCCTCTGCTAGGGTGACAGCACTCACTTACACACTCACATACTGTGTCTATGGAGAAGCAGCATCGCCCCAGGACAGGAATTGGTTTTGGACTACAGAACACCATTTTTGCCATCTGTGTTTCTTATTATGGAGGTTTCCCTTCACTTCCTGTCCTGAAAAGCTCAACAGGAAGTGAGAGCATGTTTCCAATGTTAAAGGGATACTAAACTCAGGAGTTAAATCTTAAAAATGCATTTAAGTAACTCAACTATTAACAAAAATGTATCTTATTTGTGTATCACTCGGCTGTAGATCCTCCAATCATCTCTGAATTGGTGCCGACCCCGTCCTTCCTTCTGGAGGGTGACTAGTTTTGTTCCCCATGTGTGTTGTAAAGTAGTCACCGCTCCAAGCACGCTCCTCTGATGGACTGCAATCTCAATACAGATTAGTAAACTAGACGTGAGATTGTAGTCCATCACAGGGAGCGAGCTTGGAGCAGCTGGAGACAACCGTGTAGTAGAAGGGCCTGCCTGATGATAAATATATGTGATGGGTTGTATAGACGGGCCCTCACACTACATATAACGTAGAATACACAGAGCTCAGAGTGCACAGTGTATGGTCAGTATAAGTCATCACACAGACACACAGCAGAGGTGGTCGGGCTTACCGTTGGATATGTACACCATGGTGCCTCTTCAGATGGTGACTCAGTCTCCGCTACTGCTGCGGAAATCCGGAAACATCAAACAGGAGGTGGAATCTGCTGATTGGCCGCGGTGGGCGTGTCCCAAACAACTTAGCAACGCTGCCTTAGTTACCGTGACGTTATGCAGATTTAACTTCTTCACTGTCAAAAAGTGACGCGATTGGGTCGCCTCACAGTTTGAACAGCATAAGCCGTATGTTTAGTGTTCCATGGGTAGTTATGTTTGTCCAGGCTGAAAGCGATAGGTTATGTTTCTCTATGATGATTTGCTGCAGATCCGGACAGACCTTCTACTTCCCTGGGTTACATATGGTCCAGGGATATGGTATGGTTGTCCGCTATGTGAGATGCATACTTTAATGTTTCAGGGTTAGCTCCCTGTCGGCCCTTGTCATTGGCGCATGTGCGGTCGGGGCCCGGTGGCTGCTATGACCCAGGCGGAGAAGGGAGAACCGGAAAACGGGAAGGAAAAAGAGAAGGAGCAGCGCGGGGTGAAGAGGCCTATCGTACCCGCGGCCATTCCTGAGCCCCTGCAAGAGGTGACTGCAGAGGGGGCACCGCACTCGGGGTATTACAGGACAGTGCTAGGATGGGGGACCACCAGTGCAAGGGGGTCCTTCTCACACCACTGACCACCAGTACAAAGGGAAGGGGGGTCCTTGTCCCACCACCCACTGTAAAAGGAGGTCCTTGTCCCACCAACAAGTGTAACGGGGTGGCCTTCTCTGAGCGCCGGTGCAAGGGGGTGGCCTTCTCTGACCACTGAGCGCCGGTGCAAGGGGGTGGCCTTCTCTGACCACTGAGCGCCGGTGCAAGGGGGTGGCCTTCTCTGACCACTGAGCGCCGGTGCAAGGGGGTGGCCTTCTCTGACCACTGAATGCGAGGGGGTGGCCTTCTCTGAGCACCGGTGCGAGGGGGTGGCCTTCTCTGAGCACCGGTGCAAGGGGGTGGCCTTCTCTGAGCACCGGTGCAAGGGGGTGGCCTTCTCCACTGAGCGCCAGTCCAAGTGGACACTACAATTTTCACTGTCTTGTGTTTAATGTTTGTCTATTGTTGTTGTTGTTAATAAAAATATTGTAAACATTTGTCATACAGAGGAAAGGTATGTTAAAAAAACAAACGGTTCTTCCCCAGGTGCAGATATGACTTGGTGTGTATTGACATTGATGTTATGGAAAGCATTCGATGACGGTGGGCGTTTTATTTCTGATGATTTCTTTTATTTCATGCAGCACATTCAGAGTGACTACGTGGTGGTGATACACCCCGGCTCCAACACACTGCGCATTGGCCGAGCCACAGACACCCACCCAGCAGGTATACCTCATGTCATTGCCTGGAGGCATAAACAGCCGGGACAACCTACCCACTGTGACAAGTGGCTGCTCAGAGAGGGCCTGAATGTAAGTCTTCAGATCTGTCATACTGAAGCCTTCTGCAGCTCTTTATGGGCTTTCTTCTTTTTTTTTTTTAGAAATTAACATTTTCTTTTCCTGTTTTGTGTTGTTGTTAGAAACCTGAAAGCAACGAGCAGAGACAAAATGGCCTCAAAATGGTGGATCAAGCCATCTGGTCCAAAAAGATGTCTAATGGGACAAGACGCATCCCTGTGGTGCCGGAGCAGGTGAGTGCAAAACAAAGGAGCCGCGGTGGTCTGGCCATTGTCAATGTTTTCTCAGCTGCACTTTATTATATGTTAATAAACATCTTTTATGAAATGCAAATTGTTTCGTTTGCTTAAAGTGCAACTGGAGCCAAAACTTATTTTAGTTTTGGATAGAGTGGAGAGGGATTAGAGCCCTGTTAGGTTTTTTTTTTTTTTGCTGACTGTGTCTCTGTTAGGAAGAGTCTTGTCTTTGTCCTGTTGTCTGTCATCACTGAAAGTGAAAGAAGATTCCATATTTTGGGTGGTCACCAGAACAGGGATAGATGGGGACACTTGTTCTGGAACCCCTGCTGAGGGATTTACCTCTCTTTGGAGATATTTCCTCTGACTTCCTGTTGTCGCTATCTGACAGGAAGTAAAGGGAAATCTCCCCAGTGGGACACAGATGTGTGGAAAAAAGCTGACGGGGGTTATAACCCTCCTTTACTCTATCCAAAGCTAAAAAAGGTTTAACCTTTTAGTTCTCTACTTTCTCACAAAGTGCACCTAAACATTCTGCCCCTCTGCACGTAGATGCACATTTACATAGGTTGGGCGCATGGAGTCTCCTGTGTTTACATCCCATGTCAAAGTCCTCTGTCTCCTGGCTGCACCTGTGCAGAAACGTCTTAAGGACTTCTATGGGGCTCGTCTACCTTAAAGGTCTATGGTGGCGGCCAGGAGACAGAGGACTTTGTTGCAGATGCCGGATCTCGGTATGTATGCATCTGTGGAGGGGGAGGGATCTCTTAGGTCAGGGGAGGGAGGCAGAAAGTATAAGTGTGCTTATTCTTTAAGCATCATAAACGACTGCCATGATTTTTTTTCCCATAAAATAACATTTTCACTTTTTTTTTTCTTCCTATGTTGCATCTCGTTACTGCCGATCTCCTACGGCCTGTCTACATGCTGTTACTCCAATATCCGCTGCAAATAATGCTGTGGACCAGCGTTCTGTGTTAAAACAATGGGCCATGCCTGCGCAGTGTGTGTCAGCACGGCTGCTTGTAGTCTCCACCAGGGGTGCATGTGATATAGTGACAATGCCAGAGATCAACTGAGAGACGGTTGTCTTCCCTATAACTGGCAGGGTGTGAACAAGTGTCTTTATGGCAGGATCTCCAGAAATTATTTTTCTAAAAGCTGCCGATTTTTGATATTTAAAATAATTAACCACTCGCCATCCACCCATTGTAAATACACGGGTGGACAGCAGACTCTTCCCAGCAGGTGAATGTACACGTACATGGCGGGGGGTGTGCAGGCAGCATCCCGCTGTGAATGCAAACAGGCGGCTGATTTAAAGTCTCTCATATTCGCTCCCGCGTGCATGCATATATAAATGTAAACACACGTCTGGTGCGCCTACATGCGAAAACAGCGATTACACCACACATCTTGCATATCGCCGCAAACGTTGGTATGCGAGCAATAATTGTTGGGCTATCAGCTACTGATAACACTAAACAGAGGAGCGGTAAAAGCTTTTCAAGCGTCGCCTATGGTCAATTTTGGGTATGGTAGTTTTTTGCGATTTCACGGACGCATGCAATTTTAAAGCTTGACATGTTTGGTGTCTATTTACCCGACATGACCCGATATTTTATGTCTTGCCAAAACTATTGGGTACCAATAAATGTTTTATAACATAAAGTAGGAAAAACAGGTTTGTTTGCTTTTTGTTTAGCTTTTTACATTTTCTGTACTTTTTTTGCTATATAGTAAAAAATAAAAGTGGTAGTTTAAATAGCACCAAAAAAAAGCTCTATCTGTCCCCAGAAATGGTATAAAATTAATTTCAGTACAGCGTTGCATGATAGAAAAAAATGTCTAAGTACGGCAGCGCTGAATACTGAAAAATGGCCTGGCCAGGAAGGGGGTTTAACACCCCGGTCAGCGAGTGGTTAAAAAAAGTATACATTTAGAGTTGACCGTGACATGTTCAGGCTTTAGTGAGTAGTGATACCCACTTTGCAGAACAAGTCTTTTGTCAAAAAGGATTGTGGCATTTCTCAAATTATTCTCTGTGCATTTATTGGTGCGGTTTTACATTTTCCAGGCACGCGCTTACAATAAACAGATGAGACCAGCAATATTAGACCACAACTCTGACGTAACGTGGACATGCACTTCACATAGACCTGAATATCTTGTGGGTGAAGAGGTATGTAGTTCTCTCCTTTATTGTCAGGTTTAGGTAGATCACAAGAGCCAAGAAGCTCGTATGATCAAAACTATAACATACCATAACTGGTCACAAGGTTATTTTACTAGAAATACACTTCTAGGTAAGCCTACTACAAAAGTTCAAATGATTGATCAAGAAGCCAAATCTGTGCAACAAATCAGCATGGCCTATCTACAGGGGGGTGTTAGCCATAATATGCACAGCATATTAGTACATTATGTCCAACTTACCTTACAGGCAGTCTCCTCCAGCACTGCAATGTCAATGGTCTCCTTCACTGCCAGAGCTTCCATCTTCATCTGGTCTTCTTCCAGGTTTAGCATCTTTGGCCCCTTTATTGTCCGGGATGATATAACACGCACATGCACACAGGAATTACTTAATTTCGGCACAGGACCTCACCGAGCTCTGACAGGCAGGCAGAAGGGACATGCTGTATACATTCTCTTCTGTTATAAAAACCCTACCTGTCAGCATTTATTTATTTTGCATTACTTCTCCTTCAAGTGCCCATTTGGACACACAGTGCATTACGGTTCCATTCATTTTAAATGGCAACACATATGCATTTTTTTTGCATATCACAGCACAATGTTGTGCAATTAAAAATGTGCATGCGGTAACCACAGAGTACTGGAAAGGTCTGATAGGGTTTTAGATTTTATAAAAAATAATACGTTAGGTAGAGCACAGGGAGAGCTGTCTCTTCCATGGTGAGAGGTCTCCCTCTCACACTTCTATATGTCATATTCTGTCCCAAAATGCCGCCAGCAGATTATGATTTATGTAATTCCATATTTTTAGTTGGCATGTTAATCCTTTTTTAGGCAAATACATTTGGTTTTGTGTCACTAACGACATTAACAGATATGAATGTGTATTGTGTTTTCTATCCCATTAGGCATTATTTGTGAACCCGGTAGATGGCTACAATGTTCACTTTCCCATTGGAAGGGGCCAGCTTAATGTTCACAGTGGACCAGGGGGCTCACTAACGGCTGTCCTGACAGATCTGGAAACCATTTGGTCACATATGCTACAGAAAATGTTAGAAATTCAGTTAAAGGACCTAAAGGTATGATTCTACATTTATTTATTTATTTTGTATAGAGTTGCTCTATAACTTAAAGGAGAAATATGGGGTTAGGGCTTTTCCCCATAGTTCTCCTTAGGGTAATGGGAGGACACAAACTAGCGTCCTCCCGTCACCCTAAGCTCAGTATACCGCGAGCT